AGCTTTTCACTTCCCAATCACAGCCCATGTTCCCTTTTGTAAATGTATGGTGCGGGCTGGAGGAAAATGCATTCACATGCCAGTCCCATGTTGCTCAGCCGCTGGCCTCTGGGCCACTGTTTCCCTGCATGCACTGGGGGGAAGCCGTTGGCTTCCTGGCTCACCCGAGGGGCGTGTGAGGCAGTGCTCGGGCGTGGGAACCTGGCTGGGCCCGCCGCTCTCTCTCAGTGGTGCTTGTGCACTGAGCGTGTGGGTCCCTTCGTCTCTCTTCAGGAGCGCCAGCCCAGGGGGTCTGCTGACCGGAGGCGGTGGAGATGGGTGGCGTGTCATGGTCCCTGATTGTATGAGTGGTGCTGTTTCCCTTGGGCGGCACCGTCGTGTTGCAGGGTGGGAAGGAGCTGCTTCCCTGCACGGGTGTGGTGTGGCTGACAGTGGGCGGAACCTGGGGGGGGGGGGGTCAGCGAGGGGCTGCAGGGGTGTGGTGTGGCTGACAGCAGGTGCAGCCTGGGGGGTTGGTGAGGGGACGTTGGAAGGAAGGCAGCCAGTGCCCTCAGGTGTCCACGGCAGTGGCCCCAAGTCCCCATGTGCTTGCATAGCATCTTCAAGGGGGGGGGGGGGATGCTCCCTTCCTGGCACCTGTAGGGTGGGGGACAGGGGAGGGGCCGGGGTTGGTCCCCCACCCCCCCGGGCCCCGGCGCCCGGCCCGGCCCCCCCCTCCCCCCCCCCCCCCCCCCCCCCCCAGCGTCCCTGTGCAGTCAGACTCCCTGAGAGCTTTGTCTGCTCCAGCGCTCTGCAGTAAGTGGGCGGTGGGACTAGCTGTGACCTAGAAACACTTGAGCGTTTTCCAGGAGGCCCCCGGGAAGCAGAACACGGGAGGAGGATGTCATTTCTGATGCTTGTGCCCTCTCCCAGGAGAGCAGACTTCGGGTCCTCGTTTCCTTTTGTGGCCGTGACCCCAGTGCCTGTGCCCCGGCATGGTGGGTACTGCACAGGGTGGGCGTGGCAATGACGGACTTCCTGACCTGCTCCCGGGTGACTGCCCACCCTGCGCCCTAAACAGGAGGACCCCCGAGGAAAACAGGTCCCAGGCTCTCGGAACAACAAAAGCAGTAGAGCCTGCGTCAGAGTCAGGAAGAAAGGGAGCAGTCACCCCCCACGAGGGCCCACAAATGTGCGGTCCCCTCTCTGGCGGGTCAGCACGGCCCTCTCTGGTGACAGGGTCCTCTGTGGGATGACAGGGCCATGGGGAAGGGCTCCGCCGAGCGTGGTCCTGGGACGAGACTCTGCGGGCCTGGCAGCCCGTCCCGGCTGCGGGCCTGTCTGTGCCGGCATCGTGTCCCTGCTCTGGATCTCTGCTTGAGCGCCTGGGGTTTTGCTGCTGTAGCCCTTATTTAGATCTGTTTCCATGGTAGCTCTCCAGCCTTGGAGCTTCCTTTTTCCTGAAACGTAGGTTTTTGTTGGCAATTTGGAAATGCTGCCTGCAGATACTTGAAGGGGCCGTGGTGGTGGAAGAGGGGGTGCAGTGGGGCTCTGTCTGCTTCACTGGGACCCCTGCCTTCGTCTCTCCATGGAGAGGCCTTTTGGGAGATGCGTGAGGGCACAGGATGCCGATGCCTCCCCTGCTCGCCACGGGTTCTGCATTCTGGACCAGCTTTGGGCTCCACGCCTGAGTGAGCAGGTGTGGTTCTTACACCCCTGCCCACACGGGGCCTCCCCCCGTGCCCATCTGCATCCCTGCTGCCCACGGTATGTCTTGCACGAGCATCCCCATCGACCTCGATGCTGCGTGTCCTCCAGGGTGGGTGCCCAGTGTACTCTGCTGGGCTGTGCTCCACGACCTGGCCTTCTTCTGGAATTCTGGCAGGGTGGGGACTATACAGATGACCACAAGGTCTCCAGAAGTGACCCGTACTCATTGGGGGAAACCCGGAGATACGTATTTAAACAAGACAAAAGGATTAAAAGCGCCTCTGACACTGGTAATGACCATTATGTGTTCTCTGGTTGCTGGGGTCGTGCCCAGCTGGGCCCCCACTGAATGTCGGCCCCTCTGTCCTGCAGACACTCAAGAGTTAAAGCTTTCTGGTGTAGACGTGAGTTATCTGTCTGCACCCTTACCCCGGGGGTCCTGGGATAGAGTGATGCGTTCCCATATCAGCTGGACCATGGGGCCTTTTCTTTCCCATTTAGCCTGCTGTCCCCTTGAGGGGCACTTGTCTGGAGAAGCCTAAAGTAGATTTCGTCTAGAAAGTAGATTTCTTTGCAATTTGTCATGATCTTTCCTTGACACAGGTGATGAAGCCGCTCCTGTGCAACTGTAGATGCACTTGTGGTCATGGTGCTCCCACCCGTGAAGGTGTGGACTTAAGAGAGCATGGTGGTTCTAAGACGGCCGTGGATACTTTTGAGTCTGTGTCCCTCCCCAGTGTCACTTGGCGCATGTGGTCTGCCTGCTGCGGTGTCCTGGGCGTCACTGCTCCCTGTGGGATCCCGTGCCCTCTCCTTTCCGGGAAGCCGGCTCTTCTCAGGGTTCAGGGAACCATGGCCATGCGTTCCAGGTTCCCGGGAGTGCTGTGAATGCTGTCTCCTTTCTGTGGCGGTGCTGTCTCGTGTCTCTGGGGTGACCTGGGGTCGGGGGGGATCTGTGCCGGCTGTGGTTCTGTGTCAGCGGAGCCCCTGACACCAGGCATCTGTCCTCCCAGCTGGGCCTCATGCCCCCTGCTCCGGAGCTGGGCTTGGAGCCTTTCCCCCACTGTCACCTGCTCGTTCCCTTGAGTGTATAAACTGGCTGCCCCATACACACGTGTGCACACGTGCAAACATGTCTGTGAACCCAGCAGGCCCTCACCTCTTAGGTTTCCTCCCTGCTCCGCCCCTCACACTCTGCCTTCTTTGCACACCCTCTCCACTCTCTGAGCTCAGGCCTTCCTGGGCAGTGTCCCCTGCTGTCCCTCCTCTGTTGGGCAGTCTCTGTGGGGACTTCCCTGGACCTGCCTTGTGCAGTGGGGGCTCCTTCCTTTCCTCCAAGGCAGCCCCTCCCGTGCCCTTGCTCTCGTTCCATTGTCCTCTTGCACATGGGCTGTGCACATTCTTGTGCGTGAGTGTCACTTAAGCTTGAGGCGTGAGGCCTGCAGCCCAGGGTCCAGGCCATGTTCTCAGGTTGTCAGGCACCGAGAGTATCACCCTGCCTGGCCTGTGCTGGCTCTTTCCTCCCTAGAGGAGGGGGACCCTGACGCTGCCTCTGCCCATCCACTTGGCAGGGTCCCCGCGGCAGCCCTTCCCTGAGCCGTGTGTCCGCTCTCCACCACACTCTGTGTCGTGGGGACTGTCCTCAGTGTCTTGCAACTGTGACAATGGGGTTGAGCCCCGTGTCTGTCGGGTATCTCCTGACTAACTGTGAGCTACCTGGCAGGGGTCCAGGGAGACAGGCCCCCTGAGCCAGCCTGCTGCGCCACACGCATTTGCGGATGTGGTTGTGAAGTCTCGGCCGATGGCATTTGTACAGGCCAAGCACTGCCACAGATGACCACCTGGAACAAGGTGTTCCTCAATGAGAAATGACTGGAAGCTTCCCCAGGCCCCCCATTTTTCCCACTGCCCCCCAGGTGCTACATTTGTGCACCCCATTCTGGTAGATGGGCACCCCAGCCCCCTGTGTGGATGGCTGTGCACACGTGTGTGTGGCATTCTGTCCCCACCAGGGGACCACGCTGCCAGGGGAGCGCGCTACACTGTCCAAGTTGTACTGGCCCGAGAGGGGCGCGTGAGGTTCGAGTGTTTAGTTCTCTCGCGCATGAGGTGTTGTGTTTCTGTGCATCGAAGGGCCCTGGTATCTCTTTCTGAGAGTGCTCCTTATGTCTTCCGTCCATTTTCTGTGGGACCTTCTTATCTTGTACTTCGGTTTTTAAGAGCTCTCCGTACATACTGGGGAAATTCGATCTTCATCTGTGATGTATTTTTCTCCAGTTTGTCTGTTTTTATTTAAAAATTTTTTTTAAATGTTTTTATTTATTTTTGAGACAGAGACAGAGCATGAGCAGGGGAGAGGCAGAGAAAGAGAGGGAGACACAGAATCTGAAGCAGGCTTCAGGCTCCGAGCTGTCAGCACAGAGCCCGACACGGGGCTCGAACTCATGGAGTGTGAGATCATGACCTGAGCTGAAGTCAGACGCTCAGCCAACTGAGCCACCCAGGCGCCCCTATTTAAAATTTTTAAACTATTCATTTATTCATTTATTTATTTTTGAGAGAGAGAGAGACAGAGCATGAGAGAGAGAGAGACATGAGCATGGGAGGAGCAGAGAGAGGAGGAGACACAGAATCTGAAGCAGGTTCCAGGCTCCGAGTTGTCAGCACAGAGTCCGACACAGGGCTCGAACTCACAAACTGTGAGATCGTGACCTGAGCTGAAGTCAGACACTTAACTGAGCCACCCAGGTGCCCCTAATTTGTCTGTTTTTATTTGTCTGATACTGCTTGTGATAGTTTTTTCTCCAAGCAAAGGTGTTTAACATTTAAAATGCTATAAAATTCATCCTACCTTTATTTTCTTTTGTGTCTGGGTTTTGAGTTAGAAAGGTTTCCCTACACTGAGGTTATGAAGGATTTCACCCATTTTTCCATTTTGTGCTTTATTTTATGATTCTGTGAAAGTGACCTGGTGTGGTGTCACTTTTCTGTTCATGCCTGCAATCCGTGTGCTCTGTGTGTGTGTGTGTGTGTGTGTGTGCGCCTGTGATCTGTGTGCTGTTTGTGCTGTTTGTGTGTGTACGTGCTGTGTGTGTGTGTCTGTGTGTGCATGTGTGCTGTGTGTGTGTGTGTGTGTGTGTGTGCTGTGTCTGCGCTGTGTGTGTGCTGTGTTTTGTGTGTCTCTGTGTCTGTGTGCTGTGTGTGTATCTGTGCGTGTCTGTGTGCTGTGTGGTTCTCTGTGTGTGTGCTGTGTGCATATCTGTGCGTGTCTGTGTGCTGTGTGTGTCTCTTTGTATGTGCATCTGTGTGTGTGTGCTGTGTGTGTGCTGTGTGTCTGTGTCTCTGTGTGTGTGTGTCTGTGTGCTGTGTGCGTGTGTGTGTGAGCCCCATGTTGCTGTTGGCCTGGCACACTTGTTAGGAATCGTGTGGACCTCCCTGAGGCTGGCCGGGCCACCGTGCTCCCCTGTCCATCTGGGTCAGGCTGTATGCCCACGGACCAGCACTTGTACCAGTGCACGTCTCTGCTGCATGAGTGGAGGGTCATGCCGGCTGGTCCGAGGTCTTCAGCCCAGAGGCCGTGAAGCAGTGTGAATGGTACCCGTCCTTCCCTGAGCCGCTGCATCTTCTGAGTCCTGCGGACACTGCTCCTGTGCACTCGGAAGGCCGGCTGGCAGGTGGCTCTGTCCGCAGGGAAGAGCTGGTGGTGTAGACCCCACGGCAGCGTCCTTCCTTAGGTCTTGTTTTGCCGTGGACACCTGTGTGTTTATCTCCAGGGGTGGTTCTCCTGCAGGCGGCTTAGTGTCTGTTTAGGATGTGAACACAAGGTTTCCTTGTAAACTACCCTCTTAGGCCTGCCCGCCCAGTGCTCCTTTTTTATAAGGAATAGTTTGCAGCACTGCCCTTCCCACCTTGAGGTCGGGCCCCTGCGCAGTCACCAGAGCAGTGCTACACCTGTGTGAGTTTCTGGAGGGCGGGAGACTTTTCGCAGAGCCCAGAATTGAACACATTTGCACGCAGATGTGTGCCTGCAAAAGTCACACTGTGGTGAGTTGCGTGAGAAATGTTAGGGTTTCTGTCTACGCTGAGATTATCTGTACACAGGCTTCTGCCTACTGGTGTCTGGGGTGTGCATGGGGGGGTGTGGGGCGGAGGACAGCGCCCGGGGCCCTGGAATCGCCTGCTCCCTCCAGGCCCCCGGCGCTCGGCAGCGCCCGTCAGCTGGGATGCGTGTGGGGAGCAACCTGCTTCAGGGTCCTGTGCTCCATGGGGAGTGAAGGCGGTAGGTCCACTGGTGAATTCCTACTTAGAAATGTCCCCCGAGACACAGCGTGCAGGCACTTCCGTAGCGGGCATGCTGAGGGTGCTGAGGACGCAGTCCAGAGCCTGGATGGTAAGCTTTTCGTGCGAAATTTCACAGCAGTTCACGGAATGTGGTGTTTGTAAGCAGAATGGGTCTGGCTGTTTGATGAAGTCACTTTATACGTCCTCAAGGAGGCAGAGGTAAGACACATGTCTCTGTGTCTCCCTCTCCCTTGTGTGTCCATGCGTGTCCATGCAGACCCGTGGCTCAGGGCTGTGGGAGAACTCTGCCTTTGCCCCCACGCTGCTCGTATTCTTGGTCCACAGTGCCGAGTACCTCCCTGGGACACCACCTGCTTGGCGGTTCGGTCTGAGCACCAGGCTGTTGCTGTGGAAGCCCCATCGTCACCTGCTCATCGCACCGCTGGGCAGATTCCTCGTGGCCCCCAGCAACTGCCACATCCCTCTGTCTGGGCTTGGTTCCCGGGCTTCCCTGTGTCCTTCCGTTCCGGGCACCGGGGGCAGGGGGGTAGTGGGAGATGTAGGAAGGGCTCACCTTCGAGGTGGCACAGACAGACAGCCTCAGTCTGGACCGCGGGCCATCCAACACTCTTCCTTCCCACTTCCTTCCACTGAAGGTGGGCTGGGGAGGCCCTGGTGAGCCATGTGGGGTGGGTGGGTGGGGGTCCAGAAGGAGCAGGTGCAGCCAAGGGAAAGAGTGACGGCGCACTTCACACGGGCTCGGAGGAGACCGCGCTCTTCCAACAGAGCAAACGGGAGGCCCTCCCGTTTGGGCTTCATGGGAGGTGTGGTGGCCATGCCTGAGCAGCGGTGACCTTCCCCGGAGTGTCTGTGCTCTGTGTGGTGTCGCGAGCTGTGGTTCTCCTGTACCTGGGCCTTTTCCCCCAAAAGTTGGAGCATCGGCTCTGTCTCGCCTTTATTTTCTCAATGCACTTCTAGTCTCTTCTCCCGTGTCCTTGGTGCGGGACAGGAGTCACCAGGCCACAGTGCTCAGAAGTGTTTTCTTCTGATGGCAGGCTTTTGTCTTGGCCAGTGTGGCTTAGGTGGTAGTGGTATCACCCGCACTGCCAGTTCTTGAAAAGGGCCTGTGGTTGTGGTCTGCTCTCTGCAGACGGGCTGTGGGCGGGCCGGGGGTGGGGTGGGGTGGGGTGGACAGCACGTGGCTTGAGACGGCACCCATGCACATGTGGTGGCTCCTTATGCTTTGTCCTGCGTCCGTTGGAAGAGAGCTGACATGTCCTGCACAGTGACTTGCCCTCAATGTTTGCTTCTGTTCATTACTCCAGGGCCTGGAATCTGGCTGCTGCCCTTCGGGCCAGTTTTACAAATAAAACTTAGCGTGTCTTCTTACGCACCACTTTCCTTTTTCCGGTTGGTCCACTGCATCCTGGGGAGGATTTTCCCAAACAGTGTCTTGTCTTGGGTGATTTCCTTTGTGCTACAATGTAGCAATTTCTGCCTCCCTTCACGTTGTGGGGTGGATGTACCCTTCTGTCATCTACAGAAGGACTCCAGACTGTTCTCTAATATTGTTTGATTCCTTTAAAATTAACACCACTGTGACCAACTTCTGTTTTATAACCTTGGGCTCTTCAGTTGGTATCCCAGTGAAACTGCGTGTTAACCTGAAGACTGTCACTGGCTTAATCTTACTAACTCTGCTACTGAAAGCTGGTGTATCGTTGCATTGTTTGTGGCTCCCATTTCCCTCCTTTCCCCTTATATTCAGTTACTGACAGTTGCCCTGCAGAATTAGGTACAGATTTTGTGTGTCCTGAGTTCAGTTAATACCCAGATATTTATTGTTTGTGCTGAGTTTAGGAATGGTATCTTTCCCACTATGTGTTACAGCTTGTTAGGAAAATGGTTAATTATAAAAGTAGTAATAAAAGCAGGTTTTAGAAAATTTGGAAAACAGAAAACTTCTCTGGTTTCATCATTATTAGTATCTTGTTAGATGTCCAATTAAAAAGTTATATTTGCTATATATTAAAAATTATAAAATAATTTATATATAAAATAAAAAAAATTTTAATGTTTGTTTATTTTTGAGAGAGAGAGAGAACGTGAGTGGGTAGGGGCAGAGAGAGAGGGAGACACATAATCTGAAACGGGCTTCAGGCTCCGAGCTGTCAGCACAGAGCCCAACGTGAGGCTTGAAGCCACAAACTGTGAGATCATGACCTGAGCTGAAGTCGGACGCTTACCCAATGAGCCACCCGGGTGCCCTAGATCATTTTAATATTAAAAACTACTTGGCTGTTGTAACAGGAGAGTTGTAAGTACGTATGCGTAAAAATAAATTCTCCTAATTCTGTAGCTAATGTTACACACCACAGAGAATATCCTCACACAGGTTTTAGAAATGGGGACATAATCATCCACATACTGTAAAAGTACTTACTGTCGGGTACAGTTCAGTGTTTAGTGTATCTGTAAGGCTGCCCAGCCATCACAAGGCCTCATTCCAGCCATCGTTCTTACCCCAAAAAGAACTCCCCTCCCCATTTCCTCCTAACCTCCCGTCGCTAGGCAGCCACCAGCTTACTTTCTGTCTCCATAGTTTTGTCAGTTCTGGCATTTTGTGTACTTGGAATCAAGCAGTCTGTGGCCTTGGTGTCTGGCTTCTTTCACTCAACATAGTGTTTTCCAGGTTCATCCGTATTTGTAGCAAGTATCAGGGCCTCATTCCTTTTGTTGGTCAAAACCTCATTGTACGGATGGACCACACTTTGTTTACTAGGTCATCAGTTAACGGACACTTGGGTTGTCTGTTACGAATAGTGGTGCTGTGAATATCTGTGTACATGTTTCTGTGTGGACGCATGCTTTTGTTTCTCTTCAGCATATACCTGGGGGTGGATTGCAGAATCATACAGTAGCTCTGCGTTTGACCTTTTGAAGAACCATCAGAGTTTTCCACAGCTGCTCCAGCCTTGCATACCAGTACCGTGAGGGGGTTCTGGTCTCTGCAGCCTTGCCGATGCTTGTGATTATCTGTCTTTTTTGTCTTGATGGTTTAGATTTGTATTTTCCAGTGACTAAAAATGTTGCACATGTTTTGCATGTGCTTATTGACTGCGTATCATTTTTGGAGAAATGCCTATTCAGGCCATTCACTCATTTTTAATTGGGTTACCATTTTACTGTTAGATGGAAGAGTTCTTTATATATACCGGACACTAGGCCCTTCTCAGATAAATGATTTGTCAGTATTTTCTCCCATTCTGTGGGTTCCCATTTCTCTTTCTTGACAACGATCTTTGATGCACAGAAGTTTTTAATTTTGATGAGGTCTGATTTATCTAGTTTTTCTTTAGTTGCATATGCTTGTGGTATCGTATTTAAGAAACCATTGCCTACCCCAAGATCACAGTGATTTACTTTTGTATTTTCTTCTAAGAGTTTTATAATTTTAGCTCTTGCAATCTCTGACCCTTCTGAGTTCGTTTCTGTGTGTCTGAGGTTGTGGTTCAACCTCAGTGTTTTGCATGTGGGTATCCACTTGTCCCAGCATCACAAACGGACTTGGTTTCCCTGTTGAGAAGCAGTTGGCCGTGAACTTGAGAGTGCGTGTTTGGGCCTTCAGTTCTATTCTGTTGCCTCTCTATCATGTCTGTCCTCATGCGGGTACCACGCTGTCGTGGCTGTCGAGGCTTGCTATAAGCGTTGAGGTTAGGAAGTGTGAGTCTTGCTGTTGGTTTTCCTTTTTTAGGATTGTTTTGGCTATTCTGCCCTTGCATTTCCATATAGATTTTAGGGTCAGCTTGTCAGTTTCTGCACAGAAGCCTGTTGGGGGGTATTGACAGGTACTCATTTATGCATTGGCTGTAGATGAGTTCGGGGAGTTACCGCTTACCAGTATTTAAATTTTCTAGTCCATGAACTTATGAGGCCTTTCTGTTTTAGTTCAGTTTATCTTCAGTTCTTTTCACCATGTTTTGCTGTTTTTGGAGATTAATTTTTTTGTGAGGTGTTTTTGCTGTTAAATTTATTCCTAAGCATTTTATTCTTTTTCTAAATTTTATTTATTTAAGTAATCTCTGTACCTGACTTGGGACTTGAACTCATGACCTTGAGATTAGGAATTGGATGCTCAACCAACTGAGCCATTCAGGTGCCCCTGGAATTGTTTTCTTCTTAGATTGTTCATTGCTACTGTATAGAAATGAAATTAATTTTTACATATTGGTTTTGTAAGCTGTAACTTTGCTTAACTCATCAACTGTAAGTAGTAGGCTCTTTTAAAACAATTTTTTTTAATGTTTATTTTTGAGAGAGAGCAAGAGCATGAACAGGGGAGGGGCAGAGAGAGGGAGACACAGAATCTGAAGTAGGCTCCAGGCTCTGAGCTGTCAGCACAGAGCCTGATGTGGGGCTTGAACTCATGAACTGTGGGATCATGACCAGAGCTGAAGTCCATGCTTAACCGACTGAGCCACCCAGGTTCCTGAAAGTATTTAGTAGGCTTTTAAGGATTTAATGTATTTATGCAAGGCCATATTATCTGCAAATAGAGTTTTACTTTTTCCTTCCAATCTAAGTGTTTTACTTGTTTATTTTCTTGCCCAGTCACCCTGCCCGGTACCTCCAGCAAAGTACTGGATGGAAGTGGTCACAGCGGCCCCTTGTCTGTTCCCTAGTCGTGGGGACAGTGCCCAAACTCCAGTTAAGTGTGATGGGAGCTGGGGCCCTCGCTCTTCCCATGTCTCATTCAAGAACATCCTCCAGCACCTTCAGCGGAAGCGACCATGACAGGAGGCTGTTGACATCTCACCACCTTACTGATTTCCTGGGATTAAGGGCATCTGGGGATAAGGGACTTTTAGTTTGACAGGTGGGCGGTCTGCCCATCACCCAGTGGGGCTCCAGTGCACAATGAAGGAAGCCTGGGAATCACGCAGGCCATCGGAGCTTCGCATGTGTGAGGTGACTGTGTCTTTGGGGTATCGGGGTGGTGGTGACCTCCCAGGGACTTGGCCGTCACTTGGACTCTTGCTCCTGGTGGGCCCCGGAGCATGTAGGTGCAGCTCTGGGTCAGACCCTGGGCGCCTGTCAGCCTGTGGGGGCATGTCCCGCGTCTCCACTGACACTCCTTAAATTCTTTCTGCTTTTCCTTTCCCCTTTCTTTTCTTTTTTTTTTTTTTTATTTTTTATTTTTTTTAAATATTTTTTTTAATGTTTATTTATTTTTGAGACAGAGAGAGAGACAAAGCATGAATAGGGGAGGGTCAGAGAGAGGGAGACACAGAATCTGAAACAGGCTCCAGGCTCTGAGCTGTCAGCACAGAGCCTGACACGGGGCTCGAACTCACGGACCATGAGATCATGACCTGAGCTGAAGTTGGAAGCTTAACCGACTGAGCCACCCAGGCGCCCCTCCCCTTTATTTTCTTTATCTTCATTTAGTTTTTCTGTTTTTCAGGAACTGTATTGCCAGCTCCAGTGTCCCAGCTGCTTTCTTTTGTATTCTGTCATTTTAGTTTGTTTGTTTTTTTTTTTCTTTTTTAGCATTTACTTACTATTGAGAGACTGAGAGAGACAGAGCGTGAGTGGTAGAGGGGCAGAGAGAGAGAGGGAGACACAGAACCCGAAGTGGCTCCAGGCTCTGAGCTGTCCCCACAGAGCCTGACGTGGGGCTTGAACGCACCAACTGTGAGATCATGACCTGAGCCGAAGTTGGAGCTTAACTGACTGAACCACCCAGGTGCCCCTGGTTTTGTTTTGTTTTTTCCCCTGGGAAACTCATGCATGATTCCCTCCACTGTAGCTGCTGGTCCTTGTGTTGGGTTGGCTTTTTCTTTGTGGTCATGCCTCCATCCCACAGTGTGTGTTTTCTGAGTGGGATTGTAGCTGCTGCTCTCGTTTCACAGCTGCAGGGTCATCTTACGGGCGGGTGGATGCACACAGGAGGACGGAGACACGTGTGGGTGCGTCTGTACCTCCAGTGCCATGTGGAAGAAACCCTGGGTCGTGTGGCTGGGACGGCTGCCTCTTCCTGGACACACTCCTCGCCCCTGCCAGTACTGACCCCACCTTTCGCTCCTTATGGAGCCTTGGAGCTTCTGTGGTGTAAATTGGTTGCTTTGTAAGTTTGTTTTTCAATTCAGAAAAGAGTTCCTAAAACTTTGTTTTTACTTTGGGATAACAGAGTTTGACCTGAGAATTCCTGACTTAATTTTTAAATTTTAAAGCCTGAGTTAAAACCTTTCCTATTCTTGGATGGGTCTTGTTTCTATATTTGGAGGTAGGAAGGTTTCTGCATGAAATTTCTCATGCATCTGTCTTGAGAACACCTGTTGTGTTTGAGATGAGAGCAAATCCAGGCAAATTTAAAACCATGGCTTATTGCAAGAAAATGGACTCTTGGGGCTTTTGCATGAAGGAATCTCCCCTCCGCCGGGCACGCTGTTTGTGAACACGCGTTAGTGCGGAGAAGGTGTTCATGTAAGGGAACCCTGTCGTTTATCATTTGTGTTAGAGAACGGTGCTGGCGGCTGTCCTTCCTTCTGAACTGCTGTGAGCAGTGTGTCCTTGTCTGGATGCTTCCACTTGTGTGTGCTCCTTTGTTCACGGACGGGGAAGGGGGTGCCCGGCGTCCGCGTTTCCTAATAGTCCGTTCCTGCAGCGGCTCACATCACTCTTCCTGGGTCATGGTCCCCGTGCAGACAGGGACCGGGTGACACTGCTGCTGGGAGAGGGCGGAGGCAGTGGGATCGGGCCGGCACGTCCCCCCTCTTGATACCAGGTGCTCAGCTCCCTGTGCCTGGTGTGCTGATGTCACCTGTCTGGAGCCCTCCTGTGGTGCTGCTGCTGGTAGCATCTTGGGAAGGGTGGGGGGCTGGCCGAGGGGCACATGGGCTGCGATGTGCAGGTGCAGTGCAGGGCTGGCAGGAAGCGGGTGTGAGGGCCAGGCAGAAGGATGGGGCCACATGCGTCGTGTGATGGGGACCTGAGCATTCCTGCAGCAGCGGGCACACTAGGTGGGACTGCTCCTTCCACGGGTAGGGAAGGGGTGTGCGGTGATGAGAGGTGATGACAAACAGGTCCGTAGACTTGCTGGCTGCAGGGCCACCTACTGGTGTGTCCCTGGCCTTCTGTGCTCCCGCGGACCCCATGAGCTGGCCTGGTCTCCCTTCCCACCCCGCCCTGTGTGTGCTGCCCCTGCTCGGGCCACCCATCCTGGGTGTCCCAGCGTTCACCAGTATGGGATGGGCTGCCCCTCCTGGGCGCCAGGATGAGCAGAGGGTGGGCTGTGTGTGCCTGAGGCTTGCCCATCCACCCTGACGTTTTTGCTTTCACTCCGCTTCTGGGCCTCCCAGTGTCCTTCTGCCATGTTTTCTTGTTTACTTTTAATGAGACTGATACCTGCTGCCCCCCCCCCCCCGACCTTGGCGTACCCGAAGCGGGCCATGGGGGGCAGAGGGGTGGCCCCATAAGAAGTGGGTCTTGCAGAGTGAGGGTGGGATGGGGTCCTGACCCTGTAAACCCTGCTCCCTGGGGAAGCCACTCTGGGGTTTCCATGGTACCCCCGGCCCCGCCTCCTGCCATCAAGGGCTCTCTGCATGCCTTGGTGGATGTTTGGGCCTTTGGCCCTCCTGTCCCTGCTGTCGGTGAGTGTTGGAGGTCTGGTGCAGTTTTCTTGGGTGAGATTACTGCTCAGCTGGGGAGTCTCTTGAGAGCAGAGGTAGTAAAAAAGCTGGTCATGACTTGTTTGATTTTGGATGATGAGGAGAAGAAAATGGAGTTAAGACTAAGAATTCAGCCTTCTCCACTTGTCATGTGTGTGCAGGTTACCTCATTTTTGTTGGAAAATGTGTACTATATATTCACGTACTTGGAAAATATTTGGAATGTTCTTTCTCTTGTCAAAATAATTAACGTGAGGGACATTTGGGTGGTTCGGTCGGTTAAGCGTCCAACTTCGGCTCAGGTCATGATCTCACGGTTCATGAGTTCGAGCTCCGCGTCGGGCTCTGTGGTGACAGCTCAGAGCCTGGAGCCTGCTTCGGATTTTGTGTCTCCCTCTCTCTCTGCCCCTCCCCTGCTTGTGCTCTGTATCTCTCTCCAGCAAAATATAAATAAACATTAAAAAAAATTTTTTTTAAGTGACATGATTTAAGAGGAAGTCTTGCTGTAAGAAACCTGCACTGCCGGTTAATGAAAACAGCATATAGTAAATGTGGATGGTGTTTCTGCGGGCTGACCTTCCGAGCAGTTTGCATTAAAACCTATCAAATTATTCATGGGCGTATTATGAGGGGCTTCAGGTATTTCAGGTGAATCATCTGGTATTTTTAATTGTGCTCCATAATTAAAATGTTAAAGGCAGATTATCAAAATATACTTTGTGACAAGAACTTTGTATCAAACGCTGATGGCGGTGGTGGAGAGTCTCCTGGGGGCAGAGTGAGCGGGAGCTACAGGCCAGGGGCATCAGTGCCTTGGGTGTCCCCACGGCGGCACACAGTTGTCCCGCAGGCTTCTGCTACGACTGGTCAGGAGCAGAAGCAAGAACGCAGGGGAGTGAGGTAGGACGTGGGCTGATGGCCTCAGGGCACAGGGATGGAAGCCGGGTGGGGGGTGGGGGGGCGGCAAGTGTGTCCCGAGATGGGTCTCGGGTTAGTGCGACGCCGGGAGGAAAGTAGGAGGCAGCACGTGGGAGCTGCAGAACCGACAGTCTTTCCAGCACGTGAAGAGCACTTCTGCGGCCAGGGAGCACCGACAGAGGCTGCAGCGCAAGTGGCTCAGAAGGAGCTCGTGTGGCCAGTAAGCACGAGCACACAGGAAGCCACGAGACTCCTCTCTTGTGTATTCCGGGGGCAGGACCCCTGCCTGGGCACGACGCAGGTGTGGGGTGGTCCCGGGCCAGCAGGTCCCCCGCTGGGTGCTCAGACCGACCCTTAGGTTATAAAGATTCCACGAAAGGAGAGAGTGGCACCATTCATGCCCTCGAAGCTTCCCTCAACTTCCTTATGTGGCATTCTCGACTCCTGTCTCGTCTCCCTGCCCCCAGACATGACAGGACACACCCAGAAATCACAAAACTTCACCGTGCATAAGTCAGTAAAACGAACACTTAAGCTTAATGTGATTGTCGTGAATTTCAGTGCCCAGTCTGTGTTCATGTTTTCCTGAGTGTCTCTGTCTTCTCATAGCTGGTTTTTCTGGACCAGCTGAAGGTCTGCCGAGCCTTCTGATTTAGAACTCTTCTGCTTTCCTCTTTAACTGTTGCTGTTTACTTGTAAAGAAACATGGAACTTTGTTGTAGTTTCTAGCATTCTGGACTTGGTTCTAGTGAGAATGTTCTCTGCTCCTCTGCCTGCCGTACGCTGGCGGAACAGGATGGATTTTAGGCCCCTTGTTGGGGCAGGATGGTGACAAGCCTCTGTCCTGAGCCAAACTTTCTTTCCAGGTGGGAGTGCGCTGAAGAGGGTGGCGACCAAGTGTGAGGGGGACAGTGGCCCCGGGCAGGACGGGGTGTCAGGCACCTGGAGTGTGGGACCCGAGGTCATGGGCTTCTGCTGCTCAAGGAGCCTGAAAGAGGTGGCAGGAGGCTGTGAGCACGCTGGGCCTGCCTGGTGCCCTTTGTGTGGGTCACTGTGCACAGACTGTGCGGTCCAACCCTTCCTGTCCAAGGTGTGTGGGGAACATGGCCGTCACGTCTTGGTGCTGAGATGGGGCCCACGAACCTGCTTGCAGGCTCCCGAAGCAGGGCATTGGCCTCCAGGGTGGGTTCCCCTCACCCAGCTCGGGAGTGCAGGAGCCCACAGGAGAGTCCCTGTGCCTCTACCTGCTGTGTCCCCTGCCCAGGTCCTGGAGGCAGTGGGGTTAGTGAGGGAGGTCATGGGAGGGATGGAGGTGGTGGGAGCATTGAGGGGGTGGAGGTTGTGGCAGGGACGGAGGTGTCCCACGAGGGGAGAGGGTAAACTGCCTTAGACGTGCCACACTCCACACACTCATGCCACACACATGCACAGGCCCTGGTCCCCCCCATGGGCACACTCTGGGGAGCCACCCCCACTCCTGGAACCTTGGAAGGGGCCCGAGGGTGGCCCCCGTGCCCCCAGTTAGAAACCATGCCCTACGGTGCTAGCTCCTGCTCAAGCACCTGTAGAGGCCGCGACTCCTTCACCTACCACTTGTCACGCTGGCCACTGCTGGAGGGGCATTGGTTTCTGCCCGCGCAGGGGTATGGAGGGGCGGGAGTGACCTGAGCAGAGCTCCCACCCCGGGGAGGGGGTGCTGGCTGTGGCACAGGAGCCTGGCCTGGCAGCTCCTTTCACGTGGCCGGCCGTGGGCTCCTGGGATGCCCACACTGCAGGGAGGCCTGCGTGCTGACTCACGCTCCTCCCCTCCCCTCCTTTCCCCTCCCCTCTGCAGCTACATCTGCAGCTGCAGGGGTGTGGCTACGGCCAGTCAGAGATGATGGGGCAAGGGGGCCCAGAACACCTGCACATGACAGGAGGCTTATTTTTACACATCGTTGACTGCAAATAATCCACTTTATTTAAGGAGAATGTGGATTCCAAGTGTTAAAAAAAGCACCCAGCAGGGTGCCGGGCTCTGTGGTGCTGTGTGAGCAGAGCCCCTCTGTGAGCCCACAGCTCTGGGGTGCAGGGCACCCCCGAGCAGGAGCAGCTCTGGCCGTGGCTGAAGGCTCAGCCCTGTCTCGTGGGATGTGGCTGTCCCTCCTCTGTGAGGGGTCCCGAGATTTATCTCTGGATTTCTGCCAAGTGCCAGACCATGTTGGCCTCTGTTTTGTGTGTATTTTATTTCTGAGTTTCCATAACTTGGATGGTTTTGAATAGTTAACGCACACACTCCACTCCGTTAGGCCGTGTGGCAGGCTGTGCAGGGAGGACGACACCCCCCATCCCCATCCTGGCCAGGCCCTTGGGTGCTCGCTGCACACTCCAGCATGGCTGTCACGCCAGGGCTCTGGAGCTGCATCGGGTGCTGGCGGGCCCGGTGCAGGTGTCTGGGTGTCAGATTGCAGGCCGATGGCCGCCTGGTCCTGGGGACACAGGCTGGATTGCCGCCTCCTGTCCAGGAGTCCTGAAGAAGAGCCTTTTTTCTCTGGATAGGATGTCTGTGTTGCAAGGAAGTTAATGGTTAAAGGAACAGAAGAAAGCCAAACTTCCTGTTCGTCTCCCACCCGAGACACCACGGAGACTTAACACTCTGGCGCTTGCTTTTACCCACACGCCCATGAGTGTCTCTTAGTAAATGGACCCACGCCATACTCAAAGCCGCACGCTTTCCTCATGTAGCCCAGCGGCCTCTGCAGACTTCTGTGTCCTGGCATCCGTGTCAAGCCTGCCTGGTCTTGACCTTTCCCGCCTCTTCTGCCCTGCTCCCTGGGGCTCTCTCCCGAGCTCCCTTCCAGACTCTGGGTGGGGTCCTCCGTGCCTCTGTCAGTTTCTGGGGATGTGGACAGCCACTAGCCCCTGGCCTGCAGCCGCCCGGCCGTCCTCACACCGCCGTCCCTTTGCACGTATTTCGTGTCCTGGTCTCCCCTTGTGAAGGACCCAGATGGGACCAGGGCCTCCCAGTGACCTCATTTAACTTTGTTTTTAATTTTTATTATTTTTAATGTTTTATTTATTTTTGAGAAAGACATAGAGCATGAGAGAGGGAGGGGCAGAGAGAGAGGGAGACACAGAATCTGAAGCAGGTGCCAGGCTCTGACCTGTTAGCACAGAGCCGACGTGGGGCTTGAACCCATGAACCATGAGATCATGACCTGAGCAGAAGTAAAGACGCTTAACCAGCTGAGCCGCCCAGGCGCCCCCTCATTTAAACTTTTAAATAAGGCACATTCTGAGGGCTGGAGGGTAGGACACCATAGAATTTTTGGGGTCACGCTTCAACCCCCGATAGCAGCCAGTTATCAGCTGCGAGAGCTGGGCGATGATGGATGCCAGCCTCACATATAAGGTGTACGAGGCAGACCCACAGGAGGTACACACGTTACTTGCGAACCACCACCTGACCAGAGATGGGGGGCTGCGGGGGTGCTCGTGTTCTGACCCTTTTCTGTGCGTCTTCATCTGCACAGATGAACATGTGCTCGCTTCTGTGTCTCCCCATGAGTGCAGCCTCGTCCTCGGGCCTCTGCCTCCACGTGTGGGTGCCGGGCTCCCTGAGGGCTGGAGAAGGTGGGCGAACTGCACCTGTTGTTGGGACGGCCTCACTCAATGGTGTTGCCTTGTCCACAATTAGGCTTCTGTCCTTAATTTAGATCTAAAACTCACGTAGTAAGCTTGAGAGTCCAAACGTTTCTATGTGGTGTTTATGCTATTGTTAGCACTGTTAAGTTTAACAGCAAATCTCTTCTCCTGTTTTATTTGTAATGTCAGCCAAGGCATTTGGCCAGGCCCGTGTGCACCCGTGCTGGGTTGGCCCTGCAGGGACAGTGGGGTGTGGCCGACAGGTTTTTCAGGCAGCTCCAGCACACCACTCAGGTCTCAGGAGAAAGCGGGGCTGCGTTTGGGTTTGCGTGGAAGCTGCAGGCGGAAGTTGTTGGACAGTTTCTGGGGGAGCAGGAGCCCTGGGGCCGTATTACCGAGGCCCTTCGCTTGAGGGACTGAGCAGTGTTCTGGGGTCCACAAAGGCCAGCAGGCTAGGCTGTGCCGTTGACCGCGGCCACATACCCCGTCCCCGGCGTGCTGCATTCGTGGACTTCTCTGCAGCATGTCCCTTTGTCCCTGGGTTCCCCGGGAGGCCTGAGGAGGAGGACCAGGAAGGAAGTCACCCTGCCTCAGAGAGGGAGCCCCTTGGGAGCTGGAGGTGGGGCGTGGCTGGGGCGTGGTGCTATCTCACCTGTCCTTCTTCCGCAGGAGGCAGGAGCAGTTCCAGAGAAACCCCGACAGCTACAATGGCGCCGTGCGTGAGAACTACACCTGGTCGCAGGACTACACTGACCTGGAGCTCAAGGTGCCGGTGCCCAAGCACGTGGTAAAGGGCAGGCAGGTAACCTTGGGGCCCCTCCAGCTCCTCCACACAGCTTTCTCTGTGGCCGCGGCTGTCTGGTGTGGGCTGCGCTGGAGCCGACTGGCCTGTCCTGTGGTCTCCACTGTCCTTCAGCCGCAGACATGACTGCCAGCCCTGCTGTGCTGCTGGGGTGCACCTGCTGCTGGGTGTTGAGCTCCAGTGTCCTCCCCCTCCCGTGGTTCATTGCGTGGCGTCCCCACAAAAAGCCTGACAAGGGAGGCAGGGTGATCCACGTCACGCCCATTTCACGGATGGAGCAGGTGCCTGGAGAGGCAGGGCGGAGATCCCCAGGTTGTGCAGTGGCCCGTGGTTCCTGGGCCTGTGCTGTCTGGAGCACTGGGTGGTCACGGGGTGGGGGGCGGGGGGGGGCGTCGGCCTGAGCAGGGGCGCTCACAGCCTTAGCTGGTGTCTTTACTTGAGAGCAGGAGTAGAAATGTAACCTTTGATGGGGAGAGAGAGAGATGTTTACTCAGTAGTTGTGCACGTAGGGAGGCCTCACTTTAAAGGAAAAACCCCATGTAATTTGTGAGGTTGTCCCCTGAGTGCTGTTTGCCGGAGAAGCTGTATTCTTGCTTCTGTCTTCACAAGACTCTTCAGCCTGCGCGGTAAGCAGTGCCTTCCGTGTTTCGTAGGCGAGATGGCGGGGCCAAGCAGTTCCTTGCCACCCCCCCCCCCAAGTGACACAGGTGCCCCTCACTTGTGCCTGGGATCACTGAGTGCTCTGGGAACTTGTGTGAATGACTGCGGTCAGCGCAGGTGTGCTGCCTCTGAAGCTCTGAAAAGCTCTGAAGCTTTTCAAAGAGCAGTGCCGCTGGCTTCTTTCAAAGAGAAGGTTCCGGAACATGCAAAGTAGAGCTCATACATGGCTAGCTCCTACATTTTCTGGAACTGACTGCCGTGTGAAGCGGCACCAGCTTCGGCTGGCTTGGCTGTGTGTGAAGAAAACCAGGCTGGGCGGTGAGCTAGTCCCTCTGGGGCCCCTGTCCTGAGGTGCTGACCCTAGACTGCCCAGGCTGCACCTGGAACGGGCCCAACCGTGCGCAGGACACTGGCAGGGGCCAGGCAGCCCCCAGAAGTTGCACTCCCACCAGTGTCGGGAGGGAAGGCAGGAGCCCCGAGGCTTCTTGGCTCCATGTGGTTGTGGGTCAGGGGTCTTGGGCCATGCTAGCTGGAGCACTGCGTCCACTCATTTCTCCCTCCTCCCTCTTCCCACCTGTGTGCAGAGATGTCACCAGAGCACGGTGACCCCTGTCACGTGGACTTCAAGGTCTGCGTTAGACCTGATGACCAGGGGTCATCCACACAGCATCTCGCTCTGATGACCATGTCCCCTCCCGTGTTGGTAGGTGCAGGCCAGTCTTCCTGTGGGGGGGAGGGGGGACTTTGCCCAGTGTACCCTGGGGCTCCAGTGTTGGTGGGAACTTGGATCAGTGTCTTCTGAGGCTCCAGTGTTGGGGGGGAGTCTTGCCCAGTGTCCTCTGGGGCTCCAGTGGCGGGGGAGGGGGGACTTTTCCCAGTGTCCTCTGGGGCTCCAGTGCGGGGGGACTTGGCCCAGCATTCTCTGGGGCCCGGTGGGGCAGGCGTCATGTTGTGTTGGGACTACCTTGTATGCAGGTAAGTCAGTTAAGAAAAGCGCTGGCTACAAACTTTGCTGAAGATAGCTCCAGCTTCCTGGTCCACTTCCTATCTTCCTACTTCTCCACAAACTTCTGGAACTTTCTTCAGGAGAATTTGTATCAGGCCTAACCTGAAACTGGTTATTTTCTCTTTGACTCTGGAGACCCAGATCACCTGGTCTCTGGCTGTACTTCCCACCCCAGGAAACATACATGCTGACTCTCCCCCAAGCCCTGTGTCTTGAGGGTTCTGTGCCCTTCATCGTGTCCCCTTAGGGGACAGGCTGTTGCACCTGGGGGTCAGATGCATGTGTCGTGACTTCTATATGTGCTTACTTTCACCAAGGGTGGTTCTGGATTGTGCTCGTTCCCTCCTGAGACCTTGACTGAGCATGGGATGGTCCCCAAGGCTTGGACAAGATTGCTGCTCTGGGGCTGACCTTGTGGGGTGCAGGCAGTGACAGCCGGCACTGGTGTGGCAGTTCCAGGGAGTGGTGGCTGCCCGCGGTGCGTCGGCCACTGGTGCATTTGCGAGACCAGCATGGTGCTGGAAGAAGGTGATTTCTGTGTTGGCATTTTTATGACACCTGATGACCGTATTTCTGCCGGCCTGGCTTCATCTCTGACGTGATTCAAGTTTTCTTTATCTTCTTCGGGAGTATTTTTGGTCCATGTTACGGTTTTTTTTTTTTTTTTTTTTTAAGAAATTGAGGTAATATAGGCATACTGGCTTCTGGTGTGCAGCATGGCTATTTGATATATGTCTGTGCTGTGAAATGATCGGTGTAGTAGGTCTGGTGAACACCTGTCACCTCACATGGTGACACTGTTTTTCTTGTGATGGGAACTTCTAAGATAATCTCTTGGCAATCGTCAAATTCCCCGTTATTCCTATACCGAAACAGGGGAGGGGTAGAAACGGGGAGAGAGAATCCTAAGCAGTCTCTGGAGAGCCCAATGTAGGGCGCTTGAACTTACAAATCGTGAGATCATGACCTGAGCTGAGATCAGCCCGACTGAGTCCCCCAGGCGCCCCCTGAAACCTTCTTGTGAAACTCTGTGGCCTCTCACATTTTTTAGTGATCTAAGAGTTTTACCTACAGTTCACTTAAAACTTAGCAATAGGTTTATTTTGGATGTCTTGGCTTTTGCTGGTCTCAGGGGTTTTTCCCTTGGAGTAGTCAGTTTCTTTCTGGACTGGCTGCTTTCCAGCCCTTCCCCGAGGTGCCTGTCACAGCTACCTGTCAGCAGTGTTTATTTTAGGGTTTTGACTGTGGCACCTGTCAATCATCGTGGAGGTGGTGGCTGTGGTCGCAGCGGTCCAGTGGTGAAGTCACAGTGGTGGGTGTGCCCGTGGCACTGCGAGTGCATGAGGGGGCAGCAGGGGTCCCCGGGCCTCCTGCCCGGCGGTGACTGGTGCCAGCAGCAGCAGCAGCAGAGCGACCGCTGTCCCTCTGTGCTGGTGCTCGGGTGCAGCAGGCGGAGGAGAGCGCATGCGTTGCCCTTGGCGGCCAGGGTCCTGCCTTTTCCCGTGGCCTTTTTGCTGGTGAATCTAGAGCCAAACTCTAGAGGCTTTTGCCTCGAGCAGGAGTGAGTGCACTCAGCCGCCCTTCGCCCGCTGTGCCAAGGAGCAGGGGACGTCTGCGCTGGGGTGGAGGTGCCTCTGCCCCTGCTGACATCCCCTGGCACCAGTCACTCCTGGCATCTCACCGAACGCCAGGACTTGGCCGCCGGGAAGTGGAGCTCCGGAAGTTTTGAGGCCAACCCCCTGTGCAGACGAGAGAGCCCCCGGGCCGCTCCTGCCCTGTTAGGCCATTGCCCTTGGCCGAAAGCGTGCAGACAGAGTCCCGGCTGGAATGCATGACCCCCCTCCTCCCCGGGGACCACCTGTGGTCTTTGCTGAGGATGAGTCCTGCGCCTTTGCCACGGGAACCTCCCACCGCGGCACTGGCACTGAGGCTCCTGCTGTGGCGCTCGGCCCTGAGCCGTTGGGGCCACCTGTGGGATTTGTCCTGCA